CAGGCAGGTGTGAGGGCCGATCCCTGGCCCAGCGCCTCCCACTCGACCTTCCTTCTCTGCCAGGACCAGAGAGAGCTTTTTGCAGGCCCTCAGGGCTCAGTCCTGGGGGACAAGTGTTCCTTTTACCGAGTGGAGTGGAAGAGACAGATGAGAACCAGCTCTCCCGGTGGAGACCCTGAAATCCCGCTCTTGCACATGGTTGCAGCCCCCTTCCGTTTTGGGTTTCTGCGTCACCGGCAGAGTAAGTTTTTCCAAAACGGACTGTCTAGAGTTCCTTTGGGGTCATGTAATCCAATCCCAGGGCTCCGGGTTTTCATTTTGTTTTGTTTCGTTTTTTTAAATTTTGAAGTCGGGGAGAAGAGAGCCAAGGACGGTTTCTTGAATCCGCGTTAGATCAGGAGTCCCCAGCCTTGGGCGAGAAAAAGTTACACACAGTTGATCGTATTTCATATCTGTAAGTAATAATACGATAACTTGAACAAACACTTTGCCGTTTACAAAGCCCTTTCACACTTTTTTTTTTCAATTTTCTCCAAGTCCTTGAGGGTGTCACCTCCATTTCACAGATGAGGATATTAAAGCTCAGACAGTAGATGCGGCTCAGAGAAATGAGTGGGTGGGAGGGGGGTTCACACCCCACGGGTTTGCGTCTGGATCCTCTGTGAGGGGCTCCCCAATGGCCAGACCCCCCCAGGAGGTGCTGACTGCTGACCACACTTCTCTTGGACGAGTCTGTCGATTCTGGTTTCCAGGGCCTTCTTTTATCCACACTGACGTCACCGTCGCTCTGCTTTATGGAAAACGTGGCTGGGGCCATTGTCGCCAGAAGCTTGGTAGCTCTTCAGAGCAGCTGGCACGCAGGCACGGGGCGGACCTTGGTGCCCGGGTGTGCAGCAGGCACTGGACGTGGGCTGCCCGGGACAGGGTGTTACCCTCTGGCCCCAGGTGCAAGGTGGCCGAGCCAGGGTTTGTGGGAGGTCTGGGTACTTAAAAGTAAAGGCATCACCCAGTTCTGCTTCTGGCGGTGTGGGGAGAAGTGAGCTCAGCTTACCCTGTGGGTCTGCCCCTCCCCTTTTTGAGCCCTTTCCTTCTGCTTTGTAACATCTCCTCCTACAGGCATTTAGATCAAGGATTGGCTAACTTTTTCTGTCAAAGGCCAAACAGTAAATATTTGAGGCTCGCAGGATATAAGGTCTCTGAAACAGCTACTCAGCTTTGCCCTTGTAGTGCGAAAGCTGCCACTGGCAATATATGAATGGATGGATGTGGCTGTGTTTCAGTAAAGCTTCATTTACAAAAACAAGCAGCAGGTGGGGTTTGGCCCGTGGGCTGTTTGCTGGCCCCTCGTCCAGACCAGGAGACATTTCTGCCAGGAAGGATGGTGATCGGATAGGAGGCAATGGGTTTCCCCTCCCGGATTTTAAAAGACCATTACGGGACTTCCCTGGTGGCACAGTGGTTAAGAATCTGCCTGCCAATGCAGGGGACACGGGCTCGATCCCTGGTCTGGGAAGATCCCACAGGCTGCAGGGCAACTAAGCCCGTGCGCCACAACTACTGAGCCTGCGCTCTAGAGCCCGCGACCCACAACTGCTGAAGCCCGCGCGCCTAGAGCCCGTGCTCTGCAACGAGAAGCCACCGCAGTGAGAAGCCCCACGCACCGCACTGAAGAGTAGCCCCCGCTCGCCACAACTAGAGAAAGCCCGCGCGCAGCAGCAAAGACCCAACGCAGCCAAAAATAAATGAATAAACTAAATTTATTAAAAAAAATAATAATAATATAAAAGGCCATTACTGGGGAGTGGGCAGTGCTTAGCCTCCGAGGGGGCCTACATCTGTTTTAGGAAAGGAAAGTTGCTCTCTGACTCTGTCCTTCAAATCATGTGATGAGGGCAATTGCCCAATCAGCCCCATGTCTCTGCTTTGGGAGTGGGGGGATTTGCTCACTGGAACCAAGCTGACCAGTATGAATGCTGACCCAGCTTTAAAAGACATCCAACTTCATCACTTTCAGGTGGGAACACAGGGTGACTTGTGTGTCCCTGGGGAAGGCACTTTCCTTCTCCGAGCTTCACTTCCCTCATGTAGAAAATGGAGATGAGACTGCTTTGAAAACTGTTCTGTTCTGTGCAAGCCTGAGCCGTGATGCCCATGGTTGGCGCTGCTGCGCTGTCGTGTGCCCCCTTGGAAGCAGCACCATAAAATGCCAGGGACGACGCTTCCCGTGCTGTCCTGTTCCTCTCCTCCAATTCTAGGAGGGCTTTCTGGCCGCCGGAGAGGGCGGTGTTACAGCCTCAACAAGATAAAGTGAGTGCAGAAGGTAGATGAGGTGCAGTTAGTCCTCGTGCTCAGAAACCGTCAATGGCTCCCGAGTGCCTGCAGATTCAAGTCCGTGCTCAGCCGGGATTCAAGGTCCTCCTCCTCAGCCTCGCTCTTTCCAGTTTCCTCTCCTGTGAACCCCACCCCCAAGTCTGGCAGCCCCTGAATGCTGTTGGACAGTTTCACCTTTGTACCTTTATTTCTGCAGCATCCTTCCTCTGAGATGTCCTCCATGGCCTGTTTTTTACTCCCAAATAGCTTGAAATCCCACTGCTGGGAACCCATGTCTTTGGTTGGTTGGGATATTGCCACATTTTTAAGAAGTCCAAATGTGCCCTTAGCATTTGGCAACTTGATACGAGCAGGTTCAGCTTAGAGGGTCATCCTTCCCCGAGAGCCAGGCCAGGCCAGTCATTCGTGTCTGTGGCCACCAGGTGGGGACAGAGGTGCTGGCCGTGGTCCCAACTCGTCCCATCCAGGCTGGCCACTTGGAGGTGGAAAAACTCGTGTGGGGCTACTCAGGAATTCATTAGCTGTTTACGTTTTTGTGGTTACCGTTTCTGTAGGTTGTTTATAAGAAATAGGATAAATAAGTTAAAAGATCCAAATGTCAAGAGTGAGGCGAGTAACTTACATGAATAGCTAAGATAATGCCCTGTAACTGTTCAGCGAGGTAAAACGTGCTGCCTTTCTGTTCAAGTGAGAACTGCATCCCCGACACGTCCTTCTACCCATTTCATAGCTCTGTACACCTATGTTCTTCCCTTGTGTCTGGCAGTTTACTTCTCAATGCCTTTAAAAAAATGTTTTTTAACCTTTTTGCCGTGCTGTGCGGCATGTGGGATCTTATCCCCAGACCGGGGATTGAATCCGTGCCCCCTGCGCTGGAAGCACGGAGTCTTAACCACTGGACCACAAGGGAAGTCCCTCGATGCCTTTTTAAATTTTGACTTTTATGTGTTTATTTTGTCTCTTTCATTTTATATGTTTAATTATAATTGTGAGATATTTTTAGACTTTGTGATATTTCACCAGGTTTCTAAACTTAAATTCATCCTTTTTTACACATCGAAATCAAATATTTTTTTCCATTCTCTTTCACAGAATTCAACAGTACTGGCTTCCCCCCACGCCACCCTTCGCTTTTCTTTACTATTTTAGTCTAAGGATTAGATTTGCTTTCTAATCCTTTGCTTTCTAAACATTTTCGTTTGCAGGACTTGTGGACTTTGCGTGTTGTAGCTTGCTTTTGTTCCAGCAGGTGCACCAGGTAATTAGAGCAGTGGTTCTCAAACTTGGGTGTGCGTTAGAATCCCCTGGAGGACTGTTGATAGCAGATCGCTGAGCCTCACCCCCAGGGGTCTGATCCACTAGATCTAGGATGGGGCCTGACAATATACACTTCTGTCAAGTTCCCAGGTGAGCTGGGGACTCCACTTTGAGAACCACTGAATTCCTCTTAAACAATCACCCTCCCCCTTTGGTGCTTGGAGACGTGGCTGACAGACGTCTCTGTGGCTCTGGCTGCGTCCACAGTGGCGTCTAGATCTTGCAACTCCAGTTGGCCTGTGAGAAATTCTTTCCTGGATTGAGCTCTTGAATTCTGGAGTTCTTCCTTGAAAACGTGTTGCAGAAAATATCGGACTAGCGGATTTTCCAAGCCTTCTTGCTGTTACCGTTACTCGTAAGGGTGTGGCCGTGAACAGCATTCTTGGGAACACTGTTTTCCGTGTGGGTTTCTGGGGGGGTGCCTGTGTCCTCCTCTGCCGCTGGGAGTGTGTACATTTGTCAGATTAAGACCATTGAAGGAAACCCAGGCCCCCCACCCCAACCCCTATTTGGAGGTACTTAGGATTAGGAATTTTTCTTCCTCCTTGAAGCTTAAATTTGTGACAAGCAATGTCTTGAAGTTGATTTCTGATCATTAATTTTACCTGAAATTCAGTAAATCCTCAGTGTAATAGCTTCGGCACAGTGCCTCACATAATTTTAGTGTCCCCTTTTCCTGCACGTCTTATTTGTCGGCTGAAGCAGTGCTCTTAGGCGTATCTTCACAGAAACACTTTCAGTGTTCTCAGCTGTGAAGGCAGCACGCGCCTTCTTGCCACTGTGCCTCTTTGCCTGTGCCGTTCCTTCTGCCCGAAGCGCCCTTCCTCCCTTCTCTGCCTGGGAACCTCCTAAGCATCCTTCAGGTAGCAGGTGCTCTTCCACCCTCGCAGTGTTCCCGGGAGATCTGGGGACTCTTGTTATCCCCATTTAAAGGTGAGGCAACAGCAGTTTCTTGGGGAGTTAGAGTATTTGTTGCTGGCGGGGCTAGAATACAAACTAGGTCTGGCAGCTGCTGCCTCTGAGCTCTTGGATACTCTGAGTGGGAGGCAGTCGATACTCGCGGGGTGAGGGATGAATGGACGGACAGGTGGCCGTGCCGATGGAAGCCCGTGGTGGGTAACCTTTGCTTGGGAGAAAGGACAGGGAATGTTCCAGGGCTGGGCTAAGCTGGGGGAGGCGTGGGGGGTAGGCTGAGTGCACGCCCAGAGCATGGATATGGAAGGCAGGCAGACTTGGTCTCTTTAGTCCTCCGTCTTGTGACTGGCACCTGTCCTCTGTTCTCAGGAGGTGATGCTTCATGCCCCAGTAGTGATGCCCTGTTCTCCTTTCTCCCCACCCTCCCCACCTTGCAGCCTCGGCTTTCATCATTGCCATGCTGCTGGCCAGCCTCAACAGCTGCTGCAACCCCTGGATCTATATGCTCTTCACGGGCCACCTCTTCCACGAGCTCGTGCAGCGCTTCCTCTGCTGCTCGTCCAGCTGCCTGAAGGGCCGCCGGCCCAGGGAGACGAGCGTCAGCAAAAAGAGCAACTCGTCGACCTTTGTCCTGAGCCCGGACAGCTCCAGCCAGAGGGGCTGCTCGCAGCCATCCACGGTGTGACCGGCGGGGCCAGGACCACCCCTCTTGGCTTGGATTGTACGACAGGGACAGTCTGGCCATTGGTGGTCGTGTACGTGTGTGTATAAGGTACCTTTCAGTTTGTGCCCCTCCGCACCTTGCGGGGGCTCGAGCGGGGTGGGGAAGTGGTCTCCGTGGCGGAAGGTGATAGGGTGACTCAGCCGTCAGCCAAGCCCCGGATCTACCCTGGGCTCCCACGGGTACTCCTGCTGCCCTGACCCCACTGTTGCATCTGGCTGCTGGGTGGGTTGTGGTTTTGTTTTGTTTTGTTTCCCCTGGACCTGTAATTTCACTCCAGTATCTTTTTACTCCTCTATCCTGGGGTCTTGTGAAAGGTAGTAAGTATAGGATTGGTGACCAGATGGGTGAGGAAGCCTAGTGTTCTGAGCTTGGGATGAGAAATGGGACCTCGATGGTGATGGTGCTGATATCGTCCTGGCCTCAGAGTGCTTCTGCCTTTGAGTGGACTGGTGCTAGCGTCCTTGAGCACCAGCTTGTCAGATGGTGGCCCTAGAGCAGGAGATTCTCTTAGGAGACTGTCTGGCACAGGCAGCCAATTAAAACTTGGGTTAAAAATGTTTAAGAGGAAAACAATGTTTAAGAAGCTAACACTTTAGAAGCAGTTGGGAAGGAAAAGGAAATAAAAGACATCCAGATTGGAAAAGAAGTAAAACTCCTTACAGATGATGTGATTTTGTATATAGAAAATTCTAAGGAATTCAGGCACACACATGGACACACAAGCCCATTGGAACTAATACATGAATTCAAGGTTGTGGAGTACAAAGGTCAGTACAAAAATCAAGTGTATTTCTTTACACTGGCAATGAACAGTATGAAAATGAAATTAAGAAATAATTTCATTTATAATAGTATCAGAAAGAAAAGGAATAAATTTAATGAAAGAAGTGCAGGACTTACATCCTGAAAACTACAAAATATTGTTGAAAGAAATAGAAGACTTAAATAAATGGAAAGACATCCTGTGTTCATGGCTCAGAGACTTAAATATTGTTAAGATAACAGTAGTCTCCAAGTTGATCTTATAGATTCAGTGTAATCCCTATCAAAATCCTAGCTGGCTTCTTTGCACAAATTGCTAAGCTGATCCTAAAATTCACATGGAAATTGCACAAATAATAGAATTCACGCACACACATGCACACACAAATAAACCTTGAAAAATAAACCTTGAAAAACTGGGACAGAGTTGATGGATTCACCCTTCCTGGTTCAACACTTATTACAAAGCTACAGTAACCAAAAGAATGTGGTATAGACAAAAAGGCAGATATATAGACCAACGTAATGGAATAGAGAGTTCAGGTATAAACCCTTACGTTTATGGCCAATAGATTTTTGACAAGTGTGACGAGAATTAAATTGGGGAGGTTGTCTTTTCGATAAATGGCGCCTGGACAGCTGGATATCCACACGTAAAAGAGTGCGGCTGGACCTCTACCTCATACTATATACAAAAATTAACTCAAAATGCTTCAACCTAAATGTAAGAGCTAAAACTATAAAAGTCTTAGAAGACAACATAGGGCTAAATATTTGTGACCTTGGGTTAGGTCTTGGTTTCTTAGATAATGACACCCCAAACAGAAGTCAAAGGAAGAATAGATAAATTGGACCTCATCAAAATGGGGCACAAAACTTTTGTGTTTCATAGGGCACTATCGAGAAAGTGATGACAGCTCATAGAATGGAAGAGAATGTTTGGAAGCCATATACTTGTATCTAGAATACATCAAGAACTCTTACGATTTAAGAAGGAAAAGCCAAATCACCCAGTTTAAAAAATGGGCGACATATTTGAATAAACAAGTGAATAGACATATTTTCGTATCTCTCCAAAGAAGAGATATAAGTGGCCCATAAGCACATGAGAAGGTGCTCAGTATTATTACTCACGAGGGAAATGCAAATCAGAACCACAGTGAAATAGCACTGCGCACCCACTAAGATGGCTCTAATCAAAGATATGGACAATGATAGGTGCTGGCGAGGATGGAGAGAAGCTGGAGCTCTCCTTCATCGCTTGTGGAAAGGTGAAGTGGTGCGGCCAATTTGGACAGTAGTTTGGCAGTTCCTGAAAAAGTTAAACATAGAATTACCATATGAGCCAGAAATGCTACTCCTAGGTGTTTACTCAAGAGAGACGGAAGCGTGTATACACACAAAAACTTGTCCACAAATGTTTATAGCAGTATAATTCATAATAGCCCAAAATGGAAATAACCCAAATACCTACCAACTGAGGAATGGATAAATAAACGTAGTATATCTACACAATGGCACACGACTGAACTATGGAAAGAAAGGAAGTTCTGACACAGGCTCCAACATGGATGAACCTTGAAAACATCATGCTAAGTGAAAGAAGCCTTGCGAAAAGCCACATACTACATGGTTCCATTTATATGAAATGCCCAGAATAGGCAAAATTACCAAGACAAATTATACAACAGTGGTTGCCAGGGGCTGGAGGCTGGGGTGGGTGGGGCGTGCCTGCTGAGCCCCATAGGGGCTTTCTTGGTGGTGATGAAAATTTTCTTTGGTTAGTGATGTGCACGATTTTGAGAATATGCTAAAAGCCACTGAATTAAATACTTAAAAAGACGTTGATGAGCTGAATTCAGAGGCAACCAGCTTGAAGGATGCATTTCTTGGAATCTCTTACCTCCCGGAACTTTTGTTTCTCACTGACTCACCGTTTCAGAAGAATCCATGGTTTTCTTCCTCAGTTTTCCTGCGAGAGATGGTGTTTCCGGTTTCAGCAAAAGTGCCAGCAGTGATAATACCCGGTAAACGTGTCGTCAGATGTCCCCTCAGCCCTGAGGTACAACACGACCGTGTCTAAGAAACACCTTTAGTCGTTCAATACAGGACGTTATAGATCAGAGGTTTTCCGACTGGGACTGGCCAGCTCAGTGGCACTCTGGGGCACTTTTTTTATTTGCACATATATATTTTTGGACTCACTGTGACACAGCAAGAGCACTTCCCAAAGCCCCAGATCTCCACACACACTTTCCCCTTCTCCCGCCACACTGCCCTGTACACACACGTGCACATACGCACGCACACGGCAGAATGAGCTAGCGGGGTCTGGATGTTCAGGGAGAAGGGAGGCGTGCACTGAAATGCCAGTGTTCGAAACCCCAGCATTTAGGACAAGATCTTCAGTGTAACTGGAGACCGAGGACGATGTCATCTTTGAACCCGGAGGCAGTGCAGTGTTGCTGTGACGGGCGCTTGGTGTCAACACCAGCCACTCCTGGCTCTTTGGGAAGCTAACAGGATGCTGGTTTGGGGTTCTGTGCCCTCATCCAGGACACTGGGCACCCTGGGTGCAAGTACAGCAGTGGTGGGGTCTGTTGGCATTAGAGCCTCTCTGCTCACCAGCCAGAGACGCCCCATTCTCTGCTGTTCCCAGGGAAGCTGCCATCCTAGCAGCCACCAGAGGCCGCTGGGGATCAAGGAGACAGCCACTCAGTAGATTTTTCTGACCACGGGCACAACCTTGCTGAGAACCCAGGAGTTGCAAGGTTCTTGGGCACCAGAACCAACTGGGACACTTTCCTCATTCTTCTCCCGTGAAGGCGCTGGTTGCGACCTTGGCTCTCCTTATGGCACAGGAGTCTTTTGTAGCCAGTCAGTGACATTTGATTCCAGCAGCGCCGCTGGCTACACGCCCGTGCACTCCCAGCCTCGTCCTGGAGAGTATTTTCACAATCGCTTGCTCCTTCCCCAACCGAAGTCTGGAAGAAGGAGAGCAGGGGTCCAGGATGCTGCCTGGGCCTCGGTCGTTTCTGTCCTCCTCTGGACCCCACTCCTAAGGTCCTCCAGCCACCTTTGCCCACAGTTTCAGGCCTGTTTACAAACCTAACGCATGCCTGGAGGTGCCAATAAATTGGAGCGTACAGATTTTCTTCCGGAATGTTTCATCGTTCTGGACGTGAGACAAAATGGACATTAGAAAAGTGAAATGCGAACACTTGAGGACTCAGAGCCTTATTTCTTTAGGCCCTGAAAAATCGGTCACGCCATTTGGTCTCCCTTGGGGGATGGGTCTAAGGGTCATGACTGCAGGAAGCTGCCTCTTAAGAAGATCGTGGCTTGAAAGTGCTCGACCTTTTGTGTTTAATTGCGATGAAACACCCCTAAATGCAAAATGTGAATTCCTCGATTTTGTTCTAGTTGGTGACTTTCTGTGGCACCTGCTGTCTGTGCTCATTGGTGAATGATGTGCCCGATAATGAGATGCCTGCTTCATTAGCTGCTTTATAGAAGGTGCACTTAATAAACATTTTTTTCCCCATAGATTGCTTTGCCTTCTTTCTTTAGCCTGAGAACAGTGACCATCTCTGGTGGCTTACAGACTTGAATTTCTTTGCCGGCTTCCCTTGAATCGCCATAAATCTGTCTGATTATGACACAGGTGCATCTGAGCTGTGGCAGGTAGGGGGTGGGGGCAGGAGGGGACCTGGTCCCAATCTCTTGGGTAACAGGTACTCTGGTTTATCAGAGTTCTGTCGGAAGATGCGCTAAGAGCCAGGGACAAACCTCTTGTACGGTGTAGCCACACCCACCGTGTGCCACTGTCTAACTCCGGACATAATGGGATTCTAGATTGCCACCTTGAAGGGACCCTAAGGCATATTTCTTCAAGTGGGATATGGGGGCCACCTGCAGAATCACAAGTGGTTTTGTGTTTGTTCCTGGGCTCCACTACCGATTCACAATCTGCGTCTTAAACAAAGAGTCCCTGATGAGCCAGACGTCGCGTATGAGAGAGAGCGGAATGCCACCCTCTCCTCTGGCCCGTTTTCATCACGCCCCCAGCGTGCTGTCCTGCCTGCTACTTCTCGGGGCCGGGGGTCTCCAGAAGGAACAACACCTCAGACGTACATGCATCTAGATGTGTGTCCTTTCTCCAGCCCCATGAGCTTCACGGGGGATGGAGCACCTGCCGTAGCCTGGCCCTCAGAGAAGGAGAGCCAGCTTGAAAAATAGGCGTCAGCGTCAAATCAGGTCACAGCAAATGCGGCGACGGTCAAAAGTCTGCGCAGGGCTTCCCTGGTGGCACAGTGGTTGAGAGTCCGCCTGCCGATGCAGGGGACACGGGTTCGTGCCCCGGTCCGGGAAGATCCCACATGCAGTGGAGCGGCTGGGCCCGTGAGCCATGGCCGCTGGGCCTGCGCATCCGGAGCCAGTGCTCCGCAACGGGAGAGGCCACAACAGTGAGAGGCCCGCGTACCGCAAAAAAAACAAAAGTCTGCGTAACCCAAGATTCCAGGTCTGAAACGGATGGCCTGACAATGTGAGAGACGTTTGATGGGGAGGCCCTTTGCGAGGGAGTAAGCGACTTTGGCTTTAAACCTGTTAGCGGGAGGAGCCTGGGCTCGATGAGTCCACCTGAGAGCATGAAGAGCCCCAGGTGGAGCAGAGAGCAGTGGGCTGGAACCACAGCACGAATGTGGCTAGCCGTGTACCTTTTGGCAAGTCTGCTGACCTCTCTGGGTGGTGACTTCCTTGTTTGCAAAAAGTAAGGGATGATGATGAAGTGTTCAGGAGGAAAATATACCAATATCTGCAGCTTATTTAAATACGCATAAAGAAAGGTGAGATTGGTGGATGATAGATGGATGGTGATGCAGCAAAGGAGGAGCAGTGAAGTGAATCGTAGAGCCTAGATGGCGGGTAGATAGGTGTTCACGGCAAACCTTTTCAACATTCCTCTGTGTTTGAAAATGTCATACGAAGATACTCGAAAAAACGAAAACGGGTAAAAAGAGCTAAAATGGACATGAGAGATCATTTCATGCATGATGAAACTGAGGCCAGAGAAGGCAACTAGGAGGAGAGGCAGAACCAAGGCTGCCCGTGCCCTGTCTCTGGTTTATGTGCGGTTCCCTCTACCTCCTTGCCCCAGGACCCTTGGGCGCATGGCCGGGTGCCAGTGAGGTGATGCCTCACTGAAAACAGGCCAAGTGTTTTGGAACCTGAATTTTATGAGACTTAAATGGGTGTTGCATGAAAAAAAAAAAATGGGTCAAATAGGGTTGGGGGCTACTGGCCTAAACAGCTTTCTTTTCCGCAGGACTTGTCAGAGCCTTTAATGTACTAATGTCTATTGAAAAATCTCTAAGAGAAATATGGAGCATTTTCCAAACAAATTTAAGCGCACAAGCCACCCCCCTCCTTTTTCTGAGGACTTAGTTCTGGATAACACCCTTGGGAAAAGCGCTCCTAAAGAATGTAAGATTTCTGGGGGTTTTGTTGTTGTTTTGTTGCTGCTGAGTGTAGGTGGGCAGGAGGTGGGACATATCCTTTCCATTGCCGTTTATTTCCATTTTATTTCCATGGTGAGTCCACATATGCTCGAATGGGGCCTTATGCCATCATCACGTCTGCGGGGCTGAGGGTGTACATGCCAAGAGGCAGTGCCACGGGCTCAGTGTCTGAGCCAAAGGGGAGCTTTGAACCCAGGCCCTGCCCTCAGTGGTGCCCAGGGAATATCACCTTCCCCTTCTAACCCAGCGGCCATTTTCTTCTGTGGGTGACCACTGGCTGGCCAAGGGGCAACAGAAATCAACGGGAAATAATCTCCCAAGGAACAGATATCCAGCAAACAAGAATTCCCAGAGAAACCAAAATCTGGTTCTTGCATTTGGCCGAGAGAAGGGCCGACCAGCTTGCCCCTCCTGCTTCTCAGGGCAGCAAAATATATTTTTGGAGCTGGTCAGGATGCACACCCACCTTATGGACACATGCAAAACACAGCATTTCCGGGCTTCCCTGGTGGTGCAGTGGTTGAGAATCCGCCTGCTAATGCAGGGGACACGGGTTCGAGCCCCGGTCTGGGAGGATCCCACATGCCGCAGAGCAACTGGGCCCGTGAGCCACAACTACTGAGCCTGCGCGTCTGGAGCCTGTGCTCCGCAACAGGAGAGGCCGCGATAGTGAGAGGCCTGCGCACCGCGATGAAGAATGGCCCCCACTTGCCACAACTAGAGAAAGCCCTCGCACAGAAACTAAGACCCAACACAGCAAAAATAAATAAATTAATTAATTAAAAAAAAAAAAACAAAAAACAAAAAAAAACACAGCATTTCCCAGATGCAGCCGGAAACCCTTTATTGGAGCCACCCTGCTAACGCCAGCAGTCACTGGTGGTTTCCGTGGGGTGGGGGGGGAGGGGGTGTGTCCAGGTGGGAGCTGAGGGCTGGGTTATGCCATTACAGTACAAGTGAATGCAAAGATTTGCGGTAGCTGCCTCTTAGCCAGTGATCTTCCTGGCACCCGGTCATGGGGGGCGTTGTGGTGGGGCAGGGGGCGGAGGGAAGGCCACTGCGCTTCCGTGGCGGGCTGTCTTTTCTCTCCGGCTCCCCTACTCTGTGTGCTCCCGTCTTGGGGGGAAGCAGCGGTCCCCAAGGAGAAGGAGCTTGCTGGCAGCCCTGCAGAGCCCGATGGTGGGGCCAGCCCAGCCGGGCTCCCTTGCCCCGCCACCCCTGCTGCCCACCCGGCCTCACACTTCTTTCCGCAGCATCACCTTGATGTTGCTGCAGACCTGGCCCAGGGCGGCGAAGAGCGGGTTGCAGAAGGTGCGGATGCAGAGCGAGTAGATGTGGCTGATGCACTGGATCTCGATCAGGTAGCTCTTGATGCAGGGCACCACCGCCCAGATGTGGCAGAAGGAGATGCAGGCGAACAGGAAACCCCAGAGCAGGGCCAGCGGGACCCCCAGCAGCGTGGACAGCAGGCGGTAGCACCAGTACTTGGAGACGGTGAAGGTGGTGTAGCTCACCTTCCACACGCCATCAAAACTGTAGGTGCCCACGGGCTCCGCGATCACGTCTTCGAAATCCACCTGCAGGGGTTGGGAGGGGGAACCCTCAAGTCACAGCAGCCACCCGCTTCTCAAGTGTCAGAACCCCCTGGGGCCTTGTTAAACCAGGTGGCTGGGCCCCACCCCCTGGGATTCTGACCCCGGTGAGTCCAGGGTGGGGCCTGAGATCCTGCATTTCTGACAAGTCCCAGGTGATGCCGGTGCTGTCCCAGAGAGAGCAGTGAGGCACAAGAGCTGGTCCACTTCGCTGTCTCATGGATGGATCAGAGGCCCCCAGGAGCTGAGTAACTTACTAAAAGAAACTAAGTTAGAGGCAGGCCACGAGCACAGGCTCTGAAATTCTATTGTTTTGTGATCCTAGGGAATTGGACAGTCAGTCATCCTGAAAAAATGTACCGGGTGCCTGCCGATAGGATGATGAACAGGCAAAGGTTCCTGCCCTCCTGGAGCTTACGGCAGGCAGTTGTGGCCAGTGCTCCGGTAAGGGAGCACTGAATGAATGCAGGAATGTGGGTGTGCGCCCACAGGGTGACATTTAACTTAGCCTGGGTGTCAGTCAGGCTTCCTGGATGAGGTGACATCTAGCTAAGCTGATACCTAGAGGTAGCCAGGGGGAGGGAGGAGTTGTGGGCTGCAAAAGAGCGTTTGGGGCACCAGCTGCTACGACCCAGTGGGATAGACAGTGTGCTCTTGGGGAGATGTAGGTGCTTCTGGAAGGCCAAGCGCAGGCCCAGGCCGGAGGGAGGCTGGAGAGGCCAGGCAGGGCAGGCATGGGGGCTTGAGTGCAGTGAGAGCCACTGAGGGCTTTTGCACAGGGTGTGGCTCGGCTGGATCTGAGCTTTTTTTCAGTTGAGGTATAATTGACATCTAACATTATATTCATTTCAGGTGTTCAACATAATGATTTGATTTTGTACATGTTGGGAAATGATCGCCGCCCTGAGTAGTTAACATGCGTCGCCACATATAGTTACGTGTTTGTATGTGTGATGAGACCTTTTATGACTACTCTCTTGGCACCTTTTAAATAGACGCTACATACAGTATTGTTAACTGTAGTCACCATGCTCTACTTTACATCCCCAGGACTTATCTTATAACTGGAAGTTTGCACCAGTTGAGCCCCTTCACCCTTTTCACCACCCCTCTCCCTGCTTCTGGAAACCACCAGCCTGTCCTCTGCATCTCTGATCTGAGTTTTGAGTGGCTCATTCTGGCTGCCGCAGCTGTGAGGGTGCACGTGGGGGGCGAGTTGGGAGCCGTCGCTGAATCCCGCCCGGTTTGGGGTCATGGAGGCGTTTAGAGGAAGGTGCAGCAGCCTGAGAGCTGTGTTAGGATCCGGCACGTGGCGAGGTGAGGGCCGCGGCGTCCTGGCTGGTGGAAGCACCTGGTGTCTGAGCGCAGCACCCGTGGAGGACACAGGCTTTGCTCTCCCCACGCTGGTCCTGCAGCGACCTCAGACCTTCCTCTGCCGCTGCCCACCCCATCCCTCCTTTGCAGCTGCGAGGAACGTGGGCATTCAGAGAAACCTGCTCACGCATCCCACTGAAATGGTGACTGAGGCCCCATTTGGGAAGACGGAAGAAATACAAAAGATTGCTTTCAGCCAAGTCACTTAACTTTTCGCTAATCCCTGCTGTGCATTAAGCACCGTCATAGCTACTTTCTCATATGTGATTTCATTTAGTGGCACTGAGCCTTAGCTGTCTTGTCTGTAACATGGGGGCAGTGTGTTCCTGGGCTGTTTTTATAGTAGTTGGTTGAATGAATGCAGGAATGGATCAGACTAATTGGCGGGGGGAGTGGGGACCAGTGAAGCCAGAGCTCAAACTTCAACTCCCAAGTGAACCGATTTCCTACTTTTTGAGGGGAAGGGGATCCTCTCTATGGCTAAAGTTATTATTTAAATTACTTTTTCTTATAACATAGCCACATTGCAGAAAATTAAGGGAATAGCAAAAACAAAACACAAGCATCTCCCATTTGTATTTCTCTAGTACTAAAATTATTATTGCTTTGGTGTTTTTCTTTCCAGTGTAACTCTTTTGGTGGGGGGGGAGTGGACATGACCATGTTGTATGTCCGGTGTCGAGCCCACGTTTTTCTCGTGTGGCTGGATTCTGAGCTCCTGTGCCAGGCCTCAGATCCCTGGGTCCCCCCCGGAGACAGCTGAGGATGCAGCCCCACCCTGGGGGTGGTATGTTGTGGGGAGCAAAGTTCACGGGGTGAGATTTCAGGCTGCGGGCGATGTTCAAAAGCTGACTTGGGTGGGGAGAGGTCCTTCCAGGACCCGCTTGTAAATCTCAACCTCCAGCTTTCTGTCTGCAGGGGTTTAGTGGAGGTCGCATAACCTCTCATATGGCCCCCTGGATGGAAGGGAAGGGCTGGAAGGAAGGATATGAATATGGTCCTCATCTCCTTGGAAAGGGTGGCACTTCTTCCTGGAGGGCTTCTTGGAGGTGGAGGTGGTGTCTGGCTGGGAATTTGGGGGACTGGGGGTTTGGAGGCAGAGATGCAGGAGTAGTGTGCTGGATGTTTGGAAAAGAAGGCCCAAGTTGCTTGGGGAACGTCCCATGGCTTTGGAGAGTGGATGGAAAGGGCTGGCATCTTTCTACATCTGGTCTATATGGGCAGAAATCCAGAGTTGCTGTTGCTTGCAGATCCAAGAAGCTGGGGACTATAGGCCCTGGGAGACCATTCCAACGTTGACCTGGTACATGCACCATGATTGTGGAGATTCAGTCAAACCCTCAGGGCCTGGATCCTGCCAACTGAGGTGTTCTGACCTCTGAAGCCTGCCCCTCCCCTACACGGCCATGCCCGGCCTGTGCCTGATGCCTCCTAGCTCCCGGGCTGGGCTCTGGATCCTGGTGTGGCCCCAGGAACTTGGGTAGCTGAAGGAGGCCTTTGGGTGGAGGCGTGCTCCCCGCCTTTAATCCAGCAGGCTCTCCCTCCTCCCTCCTCTCTCCCATTCCGCGCCTGGGGCCTCTACTGCCCCTCCTGTGACTGTTCCTTAGGACCGTGTCTCCCCACTCACAGATGACCCAGCCCTGCCTCCTCACGTCCAGCTGGGCAGACAGGTGCATCTGGGCGTCCTGATTCTAATCTAAGCTCTTCACGCAGCCCCAGCCAGGGTCAGACCCCAAGGCAGTTGCTGGCTCTCAGGGAGGGTGACTGGCCCCTCTGAGGTCTGGTCCTTGTTGGCCAGAGAGACCTGCCCCAGGGCAGGGCCCCCAGCCCCTTCTTCGCAGCCGCCCACTCTGCTCCAAGCAGGCAGCAATTCCCCTGCCCCTCGGCAGCCCAGCCTGCTTTGTTCACTTATTTCAGCGTGTTCCTCCATTTAACACGTTTGATGATTTGTGTCTGGCCTCTTAAGAGGCGACAAAGTGGAAAAGAGCCCTTGACTGAAGTCACGGTGCTGAGGTTTGAGTCCAGCTCTGCCTCTTATTGGCTCTGTGACCTTCAGCAAGTGTCTTAGCTTTCATATGCCTCGTTTTCCTAGATTGATTTCATTAGGTTTATCGGAGGATTGAATAAGATATGACATGTAAATACTCAGAACATTGCCTGGCACAGAATCCCTGATCACTAATTGTTAGCTGCTGGCGGCTGTTACAGAGCGCTTTCTTCATCAGGAAGCTGGGGTCCCAAAGGTGGGTCTGCACACCAGCGCAGTTGCTGACCTGATGAGTGACTTTGGCAGATAACCTCTTTGAGCTTCATTTCCTCACCTGTGAAATGTGTTTGCTACTTCTTACAACCCTGTTATGAAGAACAGAAGTAATTTCTTTCCCATCCATCCATTTCCCACCATCTGTTCATTTACCCATCCATCTATCTATCCATTCTCCCATCCATCCACCCACCCACCTATCCATTCATCCGTGGATCCATCAGTCTATCCACATGCATCCATCCATTCATATCCATCTACCTATTTATGGGCCTATCTACCTATCCATCCATCCTCTTATCCATCCATCCATATCCATCCACCAACTCATATCCATCCATCCATTCATCCAAACAAATATTTATTAAGCACCCACTTTGTGCTAGGCACACCTCCTCTTGGGCAATGCTTAGTACAATACATGGTAGCTGCCCCGTGACGGTAATCGTTTGTTCAATTGCTCTGAAGTTCCTATGAAAATATATCCCAGAAAAGCTGTTGACACCCAGATCGTAAGTATGACAGTTCTCCAACCTACCTGGTCATAAATGTGTGTGTGCATGCGTACTCAGCCTGCGCCGGTAAGATGGATAGGGTCCTCTTTTCCCTCCTTTTCTGCTATGGTAATAATCCTGCCCTCAAGGATCTCTCTGCCTTTTAATGATCTTTTTTTTTTTCTTTTTTTTTGCACAAGGCAGAAGCTGTTGTGCTGGCGTTTGAATTATTTCCAGTAATTGCCTTAGGCACTGTGCACAGGGCAACAGCTCCGTTGTCTGTGAATGCGAAAATATGCTCTCAGAGGGACAGGTTTTCCTGGGAGGAGGAGGCCGTTCCTAATCAGGACTGAGCACTGAGACCGCTCTCTGGTCACCGCACTAGTTTGGGGAGATATTTATAAGGCCCGGCTCAGGCAGCCCTAGGCAGACGAGCCGGTGTATCAGAGGCGCACGGTGACGTCATTTCTTAATTCGTTTCCGCAAGTGGAGGGGAGATGGCTGCTTCTGCGAGTGTACGGCAGGGGGCTTCGGCCGTGGGCGGAGCCGCAGGGCTCCGTGTGCAGCTGGAGGCGGGACTGGCGGTGGGAGGGGGAGAAAGGGGCTGCTCGTAAGGTTGGTGTCCCCTTCTCTGGCATATTTATTTTGGGAACAGCAAGAGAGCCAGTTGATTCATCGGAACCGGCCAGCGCCGCTCCCGCCGTCCCCAAGAGGGCGGGGAAGGTGCAGGACAGCAGAGCCGGGCGCTGCCAGCGGTTGAGGGGGAGGCCAGGCGCCACACCCCCTTCAAAAATGCCTCCCCCGCATTCC